AAAGTTGAAGCCAGGGAATCATCCGCACCAGTAGACAAGAATTTACTAAAGAGATTAGATCAATTTGAGGAGTTTATAAGGAAAAGCCAAGGTGTGAGCAAGCAAGGAGGTCTAGACTACAATGAACTGTGCCTGTTTCCGAATATGCAATTGCCGGTGGGTTTCAAAGCACCCAAATTTACCAAGTACGACGGAACGGGGAATCCCAAGACTCACATTCGAATGTTTGCAAACATGCTAGGGAGACCAATAGACGATGAGAATCTGCCGATACGCTTATTTCCCGAGAGCCTAGAAGGCGACGCATTGGATTGGTATTCCAATTTGAAACCTGAGGATATGAGATCTTGGCTGGATTTGTCAACCGCTTTTGTGAAGCAGTATGAATACAATTGCGAGCTCGCTCCGACGAGGACCACATTTGAGGAGATTAAGAGAAAACCATCGGAGGACCATAAGACGTATGCGAAGAGATGGAGGAAATTGGCCGCCAAGGTGGAGCCTCTTATGACTGAAAACGAGATTGTTCGCACGTTTATCAAAGCTCATGACCCGCCTTACTTTGAGGAGATTTTTTGAACAACAGGGTGTTCCTTTGCAGAGATTGTCAATAAATTGGAAGAATATGGCGAGTTTATGAGAGCGGGGAAAATTGTTTATGTTTCAGCTTTGAAGTCGCAGTTGGAAAGCTATGCAAAGCCAAAACAGCAGCAGTAAAAAGTCTCAGTTTAAGAAGAAAGACGAGGAAGCTTCCTTTGTTTGGAACCAAGATTCTTCTTCCCAGCCTACATACCAACGAAAGCCCGCCTACTCACCTCGTTACCTATACCAACCACGCCCTCGACCTGTCTATAATACCACAATCAACCACCCCCATCCTCGACCAAATTACCCAAACACACCGACAACACCATTTCACATTTCCCCACCAAACTTCCAAATTAGACCACGCCCTCCTTTCAACCCAAGACCTATTCCACCCCCCAACCCAAGTTACCACTATCAACAAACCAGTGACATCCAAAATCCAACCCCATACCGATTCTTCACCAATCTAGGTCGGCCTGTTGACCAATTGTATAAGCAATTGAAAGCTGCTGGGAAAATTGGCACCATACCCCCTAAGACCTATTCCAAAGGATTTTCCATTGGTTATGATCCTCAATCATTTTGTGCTTATCATTCGGGAGGCCCTGGACATTCAACTGCCAATTGCTAAGCGCTTAAGCATAAAATTCAAGACATGATTGAGTCCGGAGACATAGTCCCGAGGAGGAGGGAGGAACAAGGTCCAAATGTTAGCAAAAATCCTCTTCCTACACACAAGGACACCGTGGGAGTTATTACTATTGATGAAGAGATTGAGGAACCTACACAATTTATTATAGATGAAGTTGAGACAGTAAGGGTCATTGAAGAACCATTCATATTGGAGAAAGAAACTTATGAAGTCAAGAAAAATACCAGTCCGTTTATTCTGGAAATGGTGCCTTTCGAATATGAGCCTTCGGAGCTGGTGGTACTTGAATTGCCTGAGCAACCTCCTATCCTTAATCTGCAAGAGGTCCCATGGAATTATAGCGAGCCCACGCTATTAATTGGAGGAGAAAAGGTGTCCAGAAAGGAAGTAGATGCCATCACTAGATCAGGGAGAATCATAGCGGAACCCGCAGTTGATGCTACGCCAACGAAACCCATAGTGACGGATGAAGAGGCTTTTAATTTCCTTAAGATGTTAAAGAAGAGCGAGTACAAGGTGGTCGAGCAATTGGACAAGATGCCTGCTCAAATTTCCATATTAAATCTGCTCTTAACCTCGGAACTTCACAGAGAGGCTCTGGTCAAGATTTTAACTGAGGCTCAAGTGCCTAAAAATATTCCAATTGACAAATTCACCAATGTAGTTGAACATGTTTTGGCTTCCAATCGGATTTCTTTTTCTGACGAAGATCTAACCGCCGAGGGGATTGGACACAACAAAGCCTTGTATATCTCAGTCCGCTGTAACAAGAAACTCTTGCCGAAGGTTCTGATAGACAATGGATCCGCTCTCAATATCTGTCCCTGGAATACCTTGGTTAAGTTAGGATTTCAAGAGGCTAAATTACGGCCGTCAACCACTGTGGTGAGAGGATTTGATGGCGCGAAAAGGGAACCAATGGGGGAAGTGGATTTAGTACTGGAAATCAGACCTGCCCAATTTCAAGTCATGTGTCAAGTCATGAATTTTTCAAGTGTTTATAACATTCTCCTTGGACGGCCTTGGATTTACACTTTGGGCGCTATACCCTCTTCACTTCATCAAGTGCTGAGATTTGTGGTGAACGGTCAATTGATCATAGTTTTTGCGGAGGATGATTGCACAATGATTGTTAATTCTGGACCAAATAAGGAGGATAGTAAAAAATCTCTGTTTTCTCCTCACCATGTGGCTGACATTGTTTCCGTAGGATGGATATCTAAGGAGAAGCCAGTGGTGGAAATGAATTTGCCAAAAGCTAGTGTTATGATGGCTAAAGAAATGATTCGAGGAGAATATGAGATGGGCAAGGGCCTCGGGCGCAACCTGCAGGGAGTTTTGGAACCAATAGAGCTTCAGGGAAAGAAGGACACCTTCGGATTGGGGTTTCAACCTACTATCAAGGATAAGAAGGAAATGATGAATCGCAAAAAGGCGGAGAAGGAGGGAAGGCAACTTATCATGAATATCCCATCATTGTATTGTACTTTTCCTTAACCGTCAGAGGTGATTAGAGCTGAAGTAGACCCAATCGAGGAGGTGGAAGTTGGGTTGGCTGAGCTATTTGTGGCAGTTGCTTCTGAGGAGGACCCATTGAAGGACTCAGAATTTCCAGAAGTGGCTACCGAAACAATGAAGAATTGGACTAGTGATTTCCTTCCCTCTCGAAGGGAATTTCGGTAAATCTGGGGAATTGCCTTTGGTCACCATGAAAGAACTTATTCGCATTATTTATCTTTTCCCTTTTAGCTTTGTAAATAGTTTTAATCAAATGCTTTTCAATGCAAATCTTATGTTGAATCTCTTGTTAAGTCGCATGTTATGATCATTTGCCTTCAAATTCTATGAAATGCACAGTGTTTTCCAAATTGATTTGCTTACGCATTGTTTTACCTATTTTATTCTTTTTCAGATGGCCAAAAATAAAACACATTGACCCTTTGGATATCACTATTCTAGAATTTGATGATTGCAATCTCGATATCTTTCACGAATTTGAAATTTTGGAATAAAAAATTCAAGACGAGAGCGATAGCGAGAAAGAATCTGACTCTTTATTAAAGGATCTTGAACAATATGAGGAGAAATCCAAACCGAACTTAGAAGAAACAGAAGTTGTTAATATTGGCACTAAGACTGAGGTTAAGGAGATAAAAATTAGCATTCATTTAAATAAGAAACAGAGAAAAGAAATGCTCGAGTTTTTGACCATGTTTCAAGATGTGTTTGCCTTGGTCCTATGATGATATGCTTGGAATTTCAACAGATATAGTGGTCCACCGATTACCGACTGATCCAAATTTTCCACCAGTAAAGCAAAAACCTCGCAAGTTTAAGCTAGACATGAGCCTCAAAATTAAGGAGCAAATCGAGAAGCAGCTCAATGCTAGAATTATTATGGTGTCTCATTATCCTATTTGGCTTTCAAACCCTGTACCTGTTCCAAAGAAAAGTGGAGAAGTGCGAGTATGTGTCGATTACAGGGATCTTAATAAAGCCAGCCCGAAAGATGATTTTCCGTTGCCGAACATTCATATTCTTCTGGACAATACCGCAGGGCATGAGATTGAATCATTTGCTGACTGTTTCGCCGGATATCACCAGATCTTAATGGCAGAGGAGGACAGGGAGAAAACTGCTTTTATCACGCCCTAGGGGACATTTTGCTACCGAGTAATGCCGTTTTGATTGAAAAATGCCGATGCCACTTATCAAAGGACTATGACCACCCTTTTCCATGATATGATTCATAAGGAGATGGAGGTTTATATGGACGACATCATCATGAAATCCAAGAGAGCAGAGGATCATTTGGTTGATTTGGAGAAGTTATTTGAGAGATTGAGAAGATATGATTTGAAATTAAACCCTGCAAAGTGTGCATTCGAGGCCCTTGCGGGGAAGTTGTTGGGATTCATCATTAGTAAGAAGGGTATTGAGATAGATCCGGCAAAGATTAAAGCCATTCGCGAAATGCCAGTGCCAAAAACGCAAAAGGACGTGAAGAGTTTCTTAGGAAAGATTAACTTTATCGGAAGGTTCATCGCTCAGTTGACCCACACATGTGAGTATCTGTTCAAGTTATTGAAGAAAAATGTGCCACTGCATTGGAGTGAAGAGTGCCAGCAAGCGTTTGATAAAATTAAAGACTACTTGTTGCATCCCCCGGTTTTAGTGCCACCCAAACCCGGGTGACCTTTGATCATGTATCTATCGGTGTTGGACGAAGCTATGGGATGTGTATTAGGACAACACGATGAATCGGGGAAGAGGGAGCAAGCTATCTATTACCTCAGTAAGAAGTTCACTGCGTATGAGGCCAACTATTCTTTTCTTAAGAGGAGTTGTTGTGCTCTAGCTTGGGCTGCTCAAAAGCTGAGGCATTACTTGCTCTGACCGTTTGAAATATCTGTTGGGAAAGCCTATGCCAACTGGGCGTGTGGCAAAATGACAGATGATTCTTTCGAAATTTGACATCATTTTTACTACGCAAAAGGCAATCAAGGGCCAGGCTATGGCCGACCATTTGGCTGAAAATCCACTGAAAGATGATTATCAACCGCTTCACACTTATTTTCCGGATGAGGAGGCCCTGTTTGTGGGTATAGCAGAAGATATGAATGATCAATGCCCGGAGTAGAGGCTATTCTTTGATGGTGCATCAAATTCCTTTGGAGCTGGTATTGGAGCTGTTCTAGTATCACCTGAAGGGAAGCATTATCCTGGTTCCGCTAAACTACAATTTTTCTGCACTAACAATATGGCTGAATATGAAACTTGCATTTTTGGGCTAAAAATGGCTTTGGAAATGGAGATTAAGGATTTAATAGTGTTCAGTGATTCCGATTTGCTCGTGCATCAGACTCTCAAAGAGTGGATCACTTGGGATTCAAAGATCGTGCCTTATCATTGTAGTTTATTGAATTTGGCAAACAAATTTAGGAGTTTGGAGTTCAGGCATATTCCATGTGCCAGAAATGTCTTCGACGATGCTTTGGCCACCTTATCTTCGATGATTCAACATCCAGACGAGTTGGTAATTGAACCTATCCACATTCACTTGCAAGAAAAACCTGCTCATTGCCTAGTTGTGGAAAAATCCCCCGATGGCCGTCCCTGGTACAGTGACATTAAGGAATTTCTCAAAACAGGGTCCTACCCTCCTGAGGCCGATATGACTGCCAAAAGCTTCTTGCGCAGATTATCATCTAAATTCTTCTTGAATGGAGAAGTGGTATACAAAAGAACGTCAGATTTGGGCCTTCTGAGGTGTGTTGATAAGGACGAAGCAGAGTACTTGATGAAAGAAGTACATAGTGGAGTATGTGGATCACATATGAATGGCCACTTGTTAGCAAAGAAGATCATGAGGACCGGATATTTTTGGCTTACCATGGAGCATGATTGTGTAGTTTTTGTTAGGAAGTGCATCAAATGTCAATTGCACGGATATGTTATACGCACTCCCCCCCCCACAGAATTGCACAGTATGACTGCTCCTTGGCCATGTTCAATATGGGGTATGGATGTGATTGGAGCCATTGACCCTCCCGCTTCAAACGGGCATCGATTTATTTTGGTGGCAATTGAATACTTTACCAAGTGGGTTGAAGCTGAGTCTTATAAGCATGTGATTAAGAAGGTGGTGACGGACTTTCTAAGAAAACATATCGTTTGTCGTTTTGGAGTGCCGGAGACATTAATCACTGATAATGCCAAAAATCTCAACAATGACATGGTAGATGGTTTGTGCAAACAGTTCAAAATCAAACATCAAAACTCCTCTATTTATAGGCCATAGATGAATGGAGCAGTAGAGGTTGCAAATAAGAACTTAAAAAAAATAATCCGTAAGATGATTGAGAGACACTGTGATTGGCACGAGAAGCTCCCTTATGCATTAATGGCATATAGAACTGCTATTCGGACTTCTATTGGGGCAACTCCCTACAATCTCATGTACGGAATGGAAGCAGTTTTGCCAGCCAAAGTCGAAATCCCTTCTTTGCGCATTTTAATGGAGGCCAAACTGGAGGAGGCTGAATGGATTCAACAAAGTCATGAGCAGTTGTCTTTAATCGATGAGAAAAGGTTAAATGCCATTTGTCATGGTCAATGTTATCAAAAGAGGGTAGCCCGTGCTTACAATAAGAAGGTAAGACCACGGATATTCACAGAAGGAGATAAAGTGTTGAAACACATTTTGCCAGTACAAGAGGAAGCTAAGGGGAAATTTGCACCAAATTGGCAAGGCCCTTTTATTGTCCAGAAAATTTTGCCCGGGGGAGGTCTCATTCTTGCAGAAATGGATGGGCAAGTGTTCCCTCAACCAATCAATTCGGATATGTGTAAGAAATTTTTCATATGATAAATGAAATTTTCCTTTTAGGGTTAATGTAAAGAACGGAATGAAAAGTCAGGCTTTCTTCATTTCCAATCAAACATTCTATCTCTAGTTATCCCTTTTGAGCCTTCAGAGCAAATTATTTTGTTTGACATCCCCTGAGAATCGCAAACCCCACACTGGGGCAAGTTTTGAGTTGACAAAGCTAAGAAGAAAAAGAAGGAAAAAAGAAAAGAAAATAGAGGGTTCAAAAGGTAAAAGCGATAGAGGAACAAAATGAAGAGAAAAATGAAAAGAGGAGAATCTCGATTGAGAATAAATTGGGGCAATTATTAGTAGGATTAATTTAAAGATGCAATCTCAGGAAATCTAATCATTCATAAGTCCGCTTTCAAGCCTTAACCCTTTCTAAGCACCCCACCAGACCCCATTGCAAAAACCTAAAAGTCCTGACTTCTGTTCTTTATATTGCCTTTTAGGACAATTTCTAATCAAGTGGCACATGATGTCAAAAACATCTTCACCTATTTTGCAAGGGAAGAATTGTTATACTGATGCCATTATTTCTTAAAACACATTTCTGGATTAATATGGGCGATAGACAAGATTTGTTTGTTAGGTGAAAACCCGCAAGGGCACCTTAGAAAAAGAAAGAAAAAAAAAAGAAAAAAGGAAACAAAAGAAAAAAGGAAAAAGAAAAAGAAGAAAGAAAAGGAAAAATAAGAAGAAAAAGGAAAAAAAAAGTGAAAAGGAAAACAAAATGGGCGGGGGGTAACCTTAGTGAAAACCCGAAAGGGCGCTGAGGTAGGGTTTTACAAGGAAAAGTGAGCGTGGATCTAAAGTGCTTGTGACTTAGTTCATTGGAGATTCTCCTCACATTGTGATTCTGTTGTCAAGCATTTGAACTCCGAAGAGATGATATCCAAAGGGTCAAGTGTAGCATTTTGTTCGAAAACCAAAGTGTTTGATTTATCAAACACGAAATTTGAGTATACAAGCTTATTTATTTGAAATGATTTTTCGTGCAATAAAAGTAGAGGGTTGTGTTTAGATTGTTAAGATTTTTCATTATGTGCAATTAGAATATTTTTTACATGTTTCATGATCACATTTGTCTCTTTTATTCTATCAAAAGGCAATCCCTATGATTTATCGAAGAAAATGGATACTAATTGGTTTATTGGTTAAATATGAGAAATTATGGGAATTTGATATTGTTTGCAGGGCCAGGTTGAAGTGCTCGCTTCGTCAAACGAGAAGCCCAAATGCTCATGTTTACACTTTTCTTGAAGAAGAGGTTGATCGGATGGTGGCGGTATTATCTATCATTATTTCTTTTCTTGCAGGTCTGACAATCCGATAAGTATCACACTGGGGCAATTTTAGAAGAAGTTGTTTGCCTTTCTTCTCAAAAGTCTACGAAAGTTTTATACGACCAAACCAATTGAAGGCAGGCTCGGGTGTTGATCCCACTGACCAATTAAACAATTGAAAGTAGGTTCGGGTGTTGATCCCACTGACCAATTGAAAGCAGACTTGGGTGTTAATCCCACTGACCAATTGAAAGCAGGCTCGGGTGTTGATTCCACTGACCAAGTGAAGAATGAAGGCAGGCTTGGGTATTTATTCCACTGACTAAGTGAAAGCAGGCTCGGGTATTCATCCCACTGACCTTTTGAGTTTACATGTTCCAACTCACAGCGGAATAACTGTATGTAAGTATTTGGTGTCTATGTTTTTGTCTCAAGTTTCTTCGAAACTCAGACAAAGAGGGCAAACTGTAGACACCAAATTTTTATTTTTTATTTTTATTTTTTAATTTATTTTTATTAGCTATTTTTACTTATCAATCTCAGGACTTTAGTTTAGATATTTTTAGCTTTTTTTAGATACTGTATTTATTTATTTAGCTTTAATTGTTATTATTTTTATTTTTATGGATTTAAGGCATTTATTATTCATTTCTTAATTAGTAAAAAAAAAGAGAGAAAATTACTCACAAAAATACACTTTAATTCTTTAGATTCAATCTATAAAATTTTGTTGTTCATTTAAATTAAATTTAAAAAAAAACGCTGAACTTCCTAAATAGCAGTGTACTAACAGAATGCAGAAAACAAAAATGCAACTCCATTTTTCTAGTTTGTTTTCCGAGCATTTTTGCCCATTTTTCTACTCCATCAGATTGGCATAGTACAAGGCCATCTGGCCTTTATCTTGAACCTCAATTTCATAAGGAACAGAGGCCATCCAATGGTGTAGAAATTAGCAGAAGGAAAATGCAGCAGCTGTGCACCGTGGATACTAGGTTACGAGTGCTTATAAAAAGCCTTGAAATGAGAAGGGATTGAGTGGAGGGCTGAGAGCATCTAATGACGGCTAAAAATCTGGAGAGAAAAAGAAAAGGGGGGAGACCAGTGGAGAATTGGTGACGACCGAGAGAAAAAGAGGGGCTGCGGGCTGAGGTAGAGATCTGGGAGAGCGGGATAAGGGAAACGAAAGCGGCTTCGGGGTTTGAGAGAGAGGACAACCAGTAGAGAGAGTAGAGAGTGGCGGATGAGAAGCTAAGGAATAAACAGAGAGGGGGTCTTCGGCAAGAGCCGAGGAAAAATCTGAAAATTAGGGGGAAGTTTTTCGGGTAGAGAAACTGAGGAAAAGTTATGGGTTTTGGAGAAACTAGAAAGCAAGGGGCAAGGGTTCCGGAGTTGGGCGAGAGAAAGGAGGAACTGAACGAGAAACTGAGCTAACTCCACCACCATTACCACCACTGCAACCCCAAGTCACGAAGTCCCTGCTGCACCCCCACTGTGACACATTCAAAGGAGTATCTTACGTTGTGAAATTTCACAGACATTTCCAGGTATTCATAACCCTTACTTCTACTGTTTTAAAGCATTTCATTTGTAAAGGTTGGACTCCATCCTGTGTGTGACTGCCGAACCATTGCTAGGTTATGACTTGGCCAGGGGGTTATTATAGGACTTTGCTTTTTAACTGATGAACGAATCTGGGATTTTTCATGTTGAAAAGAATGCAGAATGTTTGATGATTCTGCTGTCAGGTTTTAGATTGCTTGCGGCTGAGATTTGATGCATAAAAATCTGCTGCAACAAGCTCGAAACTCCCGGCTTTCGTTGCAGCAACGGTCGTTTCAGCTGTTTTGATTGTTGAGGTTCTTGATTTGCTCAGAGTTGGTGTTTTGTTTGTCGTCTAATTGATGTATCATGTCCATACCTGCTGCGATTTCCTCCTTTTATACATTTGCTGCATTTTATTTGCTAACTGCACTTGTGAGCTTGTTGAGAAGAAGTAAATGTTTTTTTGAGCAAAAGCTGAATTTTCTTGCACTTATTTTCGGTTGTCAAAGTTGATAGATTTTGTCTGAGTTTCTTCACACGCAAACACATTTAGGTGAATAACCAAAGGTTGTTTTGCTGAAGTCCCAACCATTAGGAAGAGTTGCATTAACCCAGATTTTGCAGACGGTCGCATGACTGAGTTCCTTTCGCTCTCCCGTGATTTCCTTTTTCTTTTGTTGGGTGTTAGCTCGCACTTTTCCTTTCATCATATTTGAGATGAGTGGTGTCTTGTGTTTGCTTTTGTTGATCAAGACTTGATGTTTGTTAGTGATGTATTTGGCTCGTGAATGTCGCATGTTGCAGTGAAAGGAAACCAGAAAGGAGAAAGCTACCAGAGCTTCGTGATCCTATCCTGAGTTTCCTCTTGCATGTTTAGATGTTAAGTTCCAGTGGGCTTTTTGTTTAGATTAAAGCCTTGATGTTTGGTTGAAAAGGTTTTGCTCAAAGTTGTGTTTTGAGGCTGAAATCCGCGTTTAAAAATGAAAGTTGGTAGCTAGTTTTGTTGCAAAAATTTTCATCAGTTGCCAAAAGCTTTTATTGCAGAAAGCGTATTTCCCTCGTAGCTTGCATGAAGCTTGCGAAATGTGAATTTGCAGAGAAAGTTCCTGCTGCATTTTTTTTCCCTTTTTCTTTTGTTGTTTAGTTCCTTTTACCCCTGATGGTTAGCTTAAATTCTTTACTTCAATCTTGCAACAAAATTTCATGTTTGTTTTAGTCAATGATTGATAGTTCAAATCCTGGCATTTGGTGAACATGTTTGCATGATGAAATGGAAAGAAAGTCACGGCAGGAATGGTGCAGAAAAGAAAACTTCTTTTACGTAGTTTGCATGCATGAAAATAAAGGAAACATTGCATTTTAACTCTTCAGTTTGTGTTTAATTCTACTATGGCCTAGAAAATTGGGAAGACTAATCAATTGGGTCCTTGAAAGTTTCTTCTATTTTAGAAAATTGGTTAATAATTTACCTTTTTTTGAAATTATGCATTTTTTATTTCATCTAAGTTGCAATTGAGAGGGATTTGGTGATTTTGTTTGTTTTTTTTTTTACTATTTAATTGGTGCCTTGACCCTTTTATTGTTTTGAAGCTAATCTTT